GTTTATTACTCAAACACAGATTGACCCATCATTGGACCCATCCATACTGACAGGTAACAAACAATAGATCAGATACAGGTGTGGCGTGCTATTACATGTTTGTGTAAAACAAATATGATCTGGTTTTAAGGAACAAATCCAGGTTTCAAATGCAAATTGTCACCCTAACCCCAAATACAAAACAATGGTTTGTGATGTCACTTCTAAATTGATTAACGGATATTTCAATAGACTAACATCAGAAGACAACTAAATCTGAGCTATGAATGCTTTCCTTACTATAGTACTGTACCTTATTATTTAAAACACTCCACATAGGAGTAGCACGCCTAAGCGAGTGCGTGCGTTTGAACTCTGCTTGTGCATTCCATTGTGTTTCCCAGGCGAGCCACTCATCCGTTTAAGAGACTGTTTATGCAGAGCAAGTGTTTTAAGTAAGGTTTTAATAAAAATACATGTGTTTGGGAAGTAGTGGAGTTGTGTGAGAGTTTGTAATTGGATATTTTGATATAGTTTTGCTGTTGTTATATGCGACGGCTTTTTACTAGATTCATCAAGAATTTTTCTGTTTTTGGATTCTACGTTCACCTCTGAGGCATTTGAGAAAAAACAGACTTTTCTTTACAAGTTCACCGCAACACGAGCTGAGTATTCCTTTGACAAACAAAATGCCTGCTTTTCATTGTTAACTTATTATTATGTAAATGTTGAATGCACAAATTGTTGCCTTTTAAAAAAAAAGTCACCATAAGACATTGGTTCCCCATAAGCCTCGCTTTGGATGTACAATTCTATCTGCCACTAGATACAATCTCCCAGGAAAATGAAGGCTTGATTTATGGCACAAAGGAAGCGTGTCAACCATAGTGCAACCAAAACATGAAGACGATAGCTCTTTTGTTTTCCCCGGTAGCTATCGCTAGCTATCTAGCAGAAATGGCGGTCAGTGGAACAAATGAAGTAGCTGGGGTAAACAAACTGCAGTGTGTAGTTGCTAGGCTCTGAGGAAGACGGAATGCAATCCTCTTGTCTCTGCAACAGCATTACCAACAATAACACCAACTGGAAACACTGGCAGGGGGAGTTGCCCATTTTCACTTTAAAGCTCTATTTGAGAAGTTTTGGTCACTAGGGGGCAACTAGCTGACAAACACTGATGCCATTCAGACAAAGAGCATTACCTTCGCACTGGCGTTGTGTTTCTGACTACCTGACAAATTTATGTCCCATATTCACTCACTTCTGGTCTTAATCAAGTCCTAAGAAAAATATCTGTGTGTTTTGCTCACCAGACACTTGACTTTCACAAGCCAGTTGTTTGACTGGTGCTGGGCAGCAAGTAATGCAACTTATTTCATTTGATTACTTTTCAATTATTTCTCTAACAATAGTCTAAACTGGGCAATAAGGCTAAATAGTCCTAAATGTGCAACTGCTTAAATGTTGCACTCAAATTTGTCCCAACAGCTCTGCTGACCCTGAACCAAAAGAACACATTCCTGTACAGTGAAAAGATGAAAAGCAACAGAATGAATGTTATATTCTACACATAAACAAACATTAACGAAAATAATATCTTTATATGTAACCCCTTTGTAATCACCAACATTTTAATTAGCAATTGTAATTTACTAACACATTTTTTTCCTCATTAACTGTAACTGATTACAGGTAAATTTATTTTGTAATTTAATCACAACTCCGTTAAATCTCAGTAGTTACTCCCCAACATTATTTAGGAGTGCTAGTGCTAGTTGGGAGCTGGAAACATAATTGTTAGCTGAATCTATAGTGGGTTTGTTGACTGTTGAAACCAAAACAATGAGCTAAAAGAGGCCAAAGAGCTGGGTTATGATTCTCTGTTAGTTTCCTGTGACATTTTTTATTATTACACATAGTGATGTGCGACATTGTTAATCTATATTGGTTAATGCAGCGCCGATGCTAATGGGTCCATGCTTTTAATTTGGGTGTCCGTGTTTTTTATCAGCTTTTATTTAAAATAATGAAGTCACAGAGGAAGTAAGCCAGTTACCTTATGAGGAACTTTAGTCATGACAAATTTTTGAGGAAATTTTGTTGCTATTTCTGTTGTGGTCGATTCAGTGATTAATTCCTGCTTGTAGCAGTGTCATATGTCTGATAAATTCTGATCAGTTGGCAGTTGTGTAGATTTTATAAAAACCTTGCTTAAAACCCAAAGCACTGTTAATGCCTGCAGAATATATAACTATAAAGTTGTGGATGACTGAAGGTCGATATTGTCCTATGAAATTCCCCCACTTGAAGACTTGAAACTTTACTGTGACATTTGTACGACATCTTTACAAACTTGGCATAGGACGACAGCAGACTGTCGTGTGTGAAGTAGTATAAATGTTACAGAGCCGACAAAGCAGCTGGTGTCAAGATGTGAGTGCATGTGGACGGCTGGCATCGCATGGCCTCAGACTTGAACCTGAAGGAAACACCAAGGGTCTGTCTCTGTGTGCTTACAGCAGAACCTTAATCAAAACTTTCCAACAGAGAAGAGAAATAACATTACATATTCTGTCTATAATACATGAACCCAGCTCCTGACGGGCTGTAGATCAATTCCACATTACAGTAGATGTTATTAGGCCCTATTAAGTTGCATTACACTAAGAATAACTCATACAGACAATTAAGTTTGGGTTATTCTTGTATATTCCTTTGATAGTTTTCACATTCTACAAGCTTCACATTCCTCACTGTATCACAACATACCACACAACACTTTAGTGCTCCGGTTAGCATTTACCACTAATGTGACAGAAGTCTCTGTATTTGCTGACCTAGAGAGGAATAAAACTAAGAGTCAGCTACACCTGTTTCCTATCTACAGTATATGACATTGCTGTGACATAATCCTGATTACGGACAGCGAAAATAAAGGAACAGAAAAAAGGAAGAAGCAAGAGTCCAAATAGTCCTCTACTGAAGTGGGTGGATGTTTGTCTTTTTTTTGGCTGACTTTTTTTTTCTGTCACTTCTTTGACTCAGACTTTGTGAGTACTGCACAGTTGCATTCCTCCGCACACACACTCATAGCAGTATCAAAGAGTCTGAAGCCAACAGAGTGCATCAGTTCAGTCTGGGCCGGCTGCACAATCATATAAATGTGTTTTCTTTATCTGTTCTATGAATTCTGCGCACCGCAATTTTAGTCATTTATGACTCAGAGACAGATCAGAATTAAAAGTTTATAACAAACATGATTTCCAAACAAGTCCCCCACTGGGTCAATAGCCCTGGGATACTAATAAACAAATGAGTCTCACGGCTTTTATCATGAATGGAAAACTCCCGGTTTTGTCACATAAAATCAGGTCTGTTACAGTCAGAGAAAACAACGTGTAGGAAAACATCTTCATCCGCTTAATCCTATTCAGCACAAAAGGCCACAACACTCATCACCGTGACATTATAATGACTCCTAGTTCATATGTTCACTTCAAAACCCCACAAACTTATGACTGTGACTTGCATACATGATAATTACATGTAGTTTTGGACGCAGTCGTCGATGGTCCTGACACGACACCTCATCTTTTACACTGACTTGTCCCCCCTTCCTTCCTTCCTCCTGTTCACCTTCCTGCCAGCTGCAATATCATTTTTCAGAAAACTTTTCTGAGTCACTTCATATCCTGTTTCCTCTGTTACCACATTTAGGATTCACTGATTCACTAAAAGCAGCAGGAGAAGATATACGGAAACATACAGACAAGTTTTACAGCTTTGCATTAACTTTGGTGTTGAAGCCAAAACAACAAAAGTCCAGGAGAGGACACATGATTCTGTTACCAACATGTACAACAACTTCATTTCAGCAAAAATAATCAAGTATAATGGAAAATGTTTTATTTTGCATCAAACTGAGATTTAGAGTTTTCCTCAGTAAATAAATGCATCCTGATTTTGACGGCTCTTGACTTTTAAAACAGCATTCCACTGAGCAGTCTAAGTGCACGTGCTTACCCAGGCGATCTACTACTACTGCTAGGTATTTTGATACAGTTTTGCTGTTGCTATCCTATTACTTCAATTCATTAAGAACTATTTTTTCTTTTTTTTGGATTCTTCGGACACTGCAGAGGCACGTGGGAGAAACAAACTTTTCTTCATGAGTTCAACATAATATGAAATGAGTAAGTAAGATATGGATACAGTTATTTGAGGGATTACGTATTACTTTAAGTGACACTTTCTAGAGTTCACAGTGAGCAAACAACAAACACTGAAGACGAAAAATTAGGAAACAATCTTAAGCAGCTCCCTCAATGTGTGCATACCATAGACTGTTTGATAAAGATGGACGACATGATAGCACCCCCCCCCCCCCCCCCCCCCCCCCCCCCCCCCCCCCCCCCCCACCCCCCCCCCCCCCCCCCCCCCGTATGTTCAAGAGGATACGTATTGTTTTAACTGATTATTATAACTACTGTGTAATTATTTTATGCTGCAAAAGGGGGGTTTGACGTCATAATTGATTACCAATTGGTGTGCTCGGCAATAATAGTTCTAGTCGTGATTGGGTTAGATGGCAGAAACTCAATACAGAGGGGCTCTCTACTGCACAGGCTCTGGCTGCCAATGACGTCACCAGCGCAATATGGCTGTATCCAGGATATTTTGGCTTTACTTTTGTATAGTCATTGATGCAACTGTAGAAAATACTACTGAAATTGAAATACATTGAATTTTCACAATTAGAAATATCCTTCAACTATTTTTTTCCTAATCAAAATGCATGGAAATTATCCTTTGTTAAATATAAAAACTGTGGTTGAAACTGAAATATTTAATCACAGTGAGTGGGAAAATGTACGCACTGTTGAGTAACACATCTCATGTGATATTATTTTTAGCAAATGTCTTTGAATATAAAAATAGAATTTACTTTTCATTTCCTCTAATCTAAAAAGTTGGGTACTGAGACTTTTTTTTTAGCACTAAGCAGACTCAGCAGAAGTAAGTCAGTGTAAAATTAGAGCTCTTTATTTGTCATCCTCAACAATAATGTACATATTACGCAAAACACAGTATCTGCAGTATCGTCCAAACAGTAGTGATGAATTGCCCTACCATCTGCAGGGTGCTGCAGTGTTGTGGTTTAAACACAGCTGTACTTTAGCTAGGTTCTTCATAGCAACTTTGAAACAGTGGAAGGCAGCTCCACAAACTGAACGGCAGACAAAGGGTCACAGTGTACCTCTGATATGCAGACTCAAACCAAGCATTGATGAGCTAAGCCACTGAAAGGTGCTCCTGGTCATTATCATTTAAAGGTCCAGTGTGTAGGATGTAGAGGAATAGACTGGCAGAAAAGGAACATGAAAAACAAGTATATTTTCTTAGTTTATAATGACTGGTAAAAAGGAATAATTTTCATTTCCAGAATGAGCCGTTTACATCGACATAGCAACCCCTCTACGATGAGAGCATTGGAAAAATACTGATTTTTTTTTTTTTAACGTGAAACTGCTTTATTCAGTGTTTTTAACGGTTTAAATCACTCGGTCTGTCTGTTCTGGAGAGGAAAAGACCTCTGCAGATAATTTGGCTCCCTTTAACACCTCTTGAACATCTGGATCAGAAATAAGGTGAAACACATTAGCAGGCCCTGAGTGAGCTGCTCATTTCCAACGTGCTGAGCAGCATCTGAGAGACTGATTTGTAAAGTAAAAGTGCTGTATTCAGTGTTTTTACCGGTTAATCACCTAGTCTGTTTATTTTGTAAAGGAACAGACCTCTGTGGATAATGTGACACTGAAGGAATTCTAGCAGGGAGAGGTTTAAGGTGGTTGCAATCCGCACTCCTCACCAGTAGATGCCACTAAATCCCCCTAAATCTTTCCCACTGGACCTTAAAGCTGCTCAAACTTTTCCAATAAAAGTTAAACATTTTCAAACTTTAAAAGATTATTAATGAGCAATGTCAGAGCTGCAGATAAACAGATAACACTTAAAAGTTAATTAAAGTCTCGGTCAACTGCATTTGTTCTCTCTAAAGTAAAGTGAACACTCAATGCAACTGTAGTAAACCCTTCATGTAAAGTAAAGACAATATACTGAAAACTCCTCTACATTAAATTAGGTTTAAGAATATTATTTTAAATCAGGGTTTTACATTATGATGCATGTTAATCACACAATTAATTCAACCCTTTTACTGTGCGTATATGTGCGTGTCAGTACTTATTACAAAAATAAATCTTTTCTACAAACCAGACTCAAAATTAATAGAATCACATATTCACTTAAGACCAAAGTGTAAGTGTTTTGGTCATTTCCAGTCTTTAGTTTTGTTCTGAGTATGCTGTGCTGAAAATCCTTCAAATCTCACAGGCAACATATTGGCATAAATACTTCAAAGCTGTGCGTCAAAGAATCCTGGTGTATTTTCTATGAAACAGTTTTTTTTGCAGTCTTAGTGACAGATTAAAAACAATGGCAACTCTCTGATGACTCTTTCAAGCATAAAACCTTTTGGATTTTGAATGTGGATCAAACCACTGAGTCTATTCCTCGCTCTCATCCTCTCTGATCTTCACCTTCACTCTGTGCCAGGCGTTACTCAGCACGCCCCTCAGGTTCCAGATGGGAGGAACTGTGTCCGGCTGCATGTTGTAACTGTTGTCAACCGCCTTGCAAACTATCTCCAGCTCCTGAACCTCTGGAGGAAGAGGAGCCGTTACTTCCCACAGCTTCCAGGCCCAGGCTCGTCCCAGTGGGGGCGAGGGTTCGGGTGGTTTTTCCTTGTCGCTGCTCCTCAGCTGGGCCACCTGCCAGGTCTTCCCTCCATCCAGAGAAACATCTACACGCACCACCTCTCTGCCCCCACCACTCCAGGCGTAACCTTTCACCGTCACCTCTTCCATACTGCGATCGACCACAGCACCTTCTGCCGGTGTGGTGATGGCTGACTGAATGGGCAGCTCTTGGATGGCGGGAGCAGACTTGAAGTCCACCGTGTCCCAGTCTGTCGCTGGGGAGAAGCCCTTGTAGTCGTTCTGCTGCCAGTGGCTGCTGCTTTCCTCTGCACTCACTACGATCTTCCCCAGCCATTTAACATTTCGTGCGCCCACTATGCCTGGTACCACAACACGGACGGGGTAGCCATGGTCGGCAGGGAGATCCTCGCCATTCATTTCATAAGCCAGCAGCACATCACCTTCCTCGCTAACTGCCTTGTTTAGAGGGATGGAAGCACCGTAGGTAGTCCCAGTCACGTCTTTGTCCAGCCCTTCAAACTGAACATGGCGAGCCTGCTTGGCAACATCTGGCCCGTAACCAGCGGCTAGCAGCACATCCCTGAGCCTTGCACCGCTCCACGTAGCGTTACTGATTGCAGCAATGCCCCAGTTCAGACCTTTCACCTGCTTGACCTTATTCATCTCAGAGCGGCGGTTGCCGGCACACTGCAGGGTGGCGGTGACTGTGTGTTTGGGGAATCGAGTCTTTAACTCCTCTAAGGAGAGCGTCAGCACTCCTCCAGGCAGTCCCTCCACATGCAGCTGATACGTAGCCGGGTCCACCTGAGGAACTGGCAGGTGGTTTCTTTTGAAGAAGATAGCAGACGGGGTGATGTAGCTGTCAGTGAGGATTTCAGGAGGTGGCTCAGCATTGAAGGGCTTGAGGTTGTTGATACGCAGGACCGGGTGACGCTCGGGGTCAGAGGAGTAGGGGTCAGATGACTCAACAGTCTGCTGCTTCTTCCGGTCTTCTGCGCTCAGCTCACCAATCTTGTATTTAACACAAGCACATGTTTTATTAGACAACACGGGACTCAATGTTACAAGCTATCACATATTTTCAGCTTAACTTCTCTGTTAATCTCAAACAGCCTAAAATGCAAATCAAAGGCAGAAAAGACTTACAACCTAACTCAACAGGAGAAACATCAGCAAAGTGTTTTTCTCACTGACCACTTGAGGGAGTGCCAGTATTTAGCCTACAGCTGCTCCTTAGTGTACAGTACGCACCAGACCTTTTCACATTTGTCTTCAGAGATGAAGTGCAAGACAGACATAATAAATGACAAGTTCATTTAAGGAGAAATTGAACTGACATTCTGACATTATTCAGTTTCTCAAAGATAGAGCAACATTTTTAATGGACTTCTACACTGAATAGATAGACTTAAGGGGATGTTGTTGTAAAGTGTATTGTGACTGAACTGCACTGAAAGCACTTGTGTTAAGCACTTGTGTTAAAGCGCTGCAGCAAATATGGTAGATCAAACTTGAGCCAGAAACTCTGTCTATAAACTGTGATGGATGTTAACAAGCGACTGACTGGGCAATCATTTTACAATTCAGCTTTTTTTCTATTGCAATTAAGTTAAGAGGTTTTCAGATCTATTATTTCTGTTCTATTTTCCAGCCAGAGGTGTAACTCAAAGCTTCAGAGCTTTGCAGGGTGGAGCTGCACATTGAAATGTTACAGTGATAAAATTCAAATTGAAGTAGGGGATGGTTGACACTTTAACTTAAAGTGTAACTTTGGTATTTTTAAACCTGGAACCTATCTTCCCATGTTTTATGTTTTAAGTGACTAACAGGCTCAACAGTATCTGAAACTGGTCCAGTAATGAGCAAGAAGGCTGCAGCTGGCAGCCACATTACTGGCTGCAATGTAACCACTCTAGGCACGAGCACCCTTGTCCAATCAAAGTTTTTGCCACTGACAGGCTCAGATTGTTACTCTAAGCGTCAGACAACATTATGAAGAAGATCCCTACAGAGACCTTTTTGCTACAGTGTAACTAAACCCCAAGACCAATTATTTTCAGCTCACCTAATGTCCATGGGTATTTAGTAATGTCACTGATAGGTTCCAGTCCAAATCTTGACATCATAGTGCAAAGTATTTGAAACTATATTCTGTTTTAAATATGCATAGCGACTGCCACCTACTGGTTGAAACCCAGCTCCTGCATTTGAATTTTCCTATTGGCTGACTTGGTGACAGCTTTTCATTGCATTCAGCCGCTCCTCCTACCCACTCCATGTCCACGGCTATTGAAAAGAGGCTGGGACAGACTCTCTGACCCCATGCGAGATATGGGGTATGATACATGCGCAGTGTACCTGAAGCTGCAATGTTGAAAGGGTTACAGGAGATGGCGCTAGAAATAAAGTGATGGAGTCGGTTCAGGTGCTCTTTTAGTGCACTATTTTTTTGCTTCCTATGGGCGAACTCTACCAGACAGCACTTTTAGGATACCCTCCAATGAATAGCAGCCAATATGCAGCAGAAGATCTGTTTTTGGTCTTTTATTAAGGATCTTTTCAATAATTGCAGACTTGTAATTCTCACCTATATCTTTTTCTAAATATATTTCGAATTTCGGGCGCCTTAGTGAAACAAATCAGTCATCCTCATGTTCTGTATTGGTGCACCAGCTATAGAACCTTTTGGAAAGTGCAGACCAGGTTTTACTGTGCATTTGATGTACCCAAGCGATATGAGGCAATATGGTGCCACGACCTCTGTTCTTTTCAACCTCTGTGTCCTTGCCACCAGGCAGCAGGAAGGAGTGAGTAAGCATGTCTCAGCTCCCCCTCCCAGCCCTGCCCATGATGACACTTTCTTGAAATTTTTTCACACAGAAGCATATTTTTGAATTTCCTGGGTACTGGCATCTGACCAAAAAATCTTGGGTTCAGTTACTCTTTACAGAGTAAGATCTTTTTCTTTTTAACCAGAAATAGCCCCGAAATCACAATCACCAAACCATTTGTTGTGCTAACCTCAACATTTGTCTGTAATAAATAAACTGAAGCTTCTGTGCTTTGATCACCTGCTGTGAAACATGAGCCTCACCCATTTATAATATCCGTCTAAGATCATTTTGGTGAAAGTAACACAAAAGTGGTGTAATATTGTACGGTAACTTATTACTTTCAAATGAAGGTAACTAGTAATATGTACTAAAATGTATGTAATTCACCCAACACTGGCCCCAAGCTTTTACGCTGCAGCCTGTATTGTGGCTGCTGGCTGCAGCACTCTTGCTCAATACTGGACCAATTCAAAAAATTGTTGCACCCCATTAGTCACTTAGACACACAAGTGTGGGGAAATAGAGTCCAGGTTGAAAAATACTGACTTTATCCTTAAAGGTCTGCAGTATATTTTAGCTACAACTGTCTTCACATAGGCCGACTTATTTGCTACAGTGTTTGCTGCTGAAGGCCAAGTCTTGTCTCTGCTTTGTGTTAAACGCCCTGCTTGATGAAACTTGTTCCACCTGGAAAAAAATCTGCTGAAACCACTTTTCCCCTGAGGTACTCTATTGTTATTATTCCACCTATAGTTCACTGATTTCACAGTAAATAATCTGTCTTCTACTTAAAGTAACTAGACATTTTATTTATTTATTTGTTTAATCTTACCCATGATTTTAGAGTGTTAGTTAACTATGAATCAGCCCACCTTATACTCTGAGAGCATTTCCAGCACATGTTCCTGGTTGTGTACAGCATACAGCGCCCAGAAGGGTTCAAGGGCTCCACCTGCTGCCAGCAAGATTTTATCCCCACCAGGATGCATGGCCACAAAGTCAGTGATGTCATACACGCTGCCTTTGTAAGTGACCCACACGCCATCTTCCAGGGAGCGGTGACTGGTGACCTCTTCCTGGCTGAAGATTGGAAAAGCTGAGGTCTTCTCTATGGTCTGCGCTCTACTGGTGTCTTCCTGCTCAGCCTGCACCGGAGACAAGAGAGGACACATCAGCTCTGTGCTCCATCAACAAAGACATTTAGAAGACGGAGGACCGGGAAACCAGGAATCCAGTCTGGAGGACAATTATTTACCTTGAAAATAGTATGTTCCAAAAATACATTTAAAGAATACATTTTGCATTTTACATTTTTTGTACAGCTGTGACTGACAAGTCACTTGTGTTCTTCTGTGATCACTTTGTAACTGCAAGTATTTGTCATTATCAGGCCTCAGGTTTTAGTGGTACAGTGGCTGTAAAAGCAGTGGCAGTGTGTATTCTCTTGTTTGCACATGCTGACAGCACTGGGCTTGGAGTGCTGACCCTGATATGGAAATGCTTTAAATATCTTTCATGGTTCTCCCCTTTTTTTGAACAGCCTCTGGATAGGACACACAGCATGAAAGAGAACAATATAACAAACTCACTGTTGAGCAGCTACAACGGAGCAGAATTTAAATTAAAATTAAGATAAATGTGGATTAATTCAGAAGGTATATAAAGGCAACTGTTACTATAGAGGTGTTTATTTAAAGTAAGCTCATTGATAGCCTTCATACTGCCTACATTTTTAATGAAGTCCTGTTATACAACACATTCCCTGATGCTTTTAGGTAGAAAAATATAACACAAAAAACCCTCTCCATTTAAAATAAAAGTTCCAGCCTTTCCGCCCATACTGTTATACCAGACTGCTGCGTCAGGCCTTAGTCTTAATTGTGCAAACAACACATGTTGGTCAACCATGTGGCTTTTGTTTGTCAAGAAGCAGCAGCAGCAGCAACAAGTTCCTGAGCTGTTTAAATTCTTTGAATTTCCCATTACTTGTGGCGCACTGAGACAGATCACAGTAGAACAGAAAGTAAGAGCTCCTGACTAAAGCATATACATTGATTTATGATTGAAATGTACAGCTAGTATTACCACTACTGATTCTGTACTACAACTGCTTATAAAAGCAGCTACAAAGTCTTGAAACAGACATTTTGCAGCACCCCTGTGTTAATTATCAACTCAACTTATACAGGAGAGCTGCACTGCTGCTGGGAGTGGTTAATGTTTTCTCACTGTACATGTGAGAACAGGATGGATCTGGAACATAACTCATTCCTGTCACTGTTTGAGTGGATGAAGAACATTTTTAAATTTAACTCCACAGTGAAAGTTATGTATTTAAGTTTATAATACACAACAAAAAAGAAAAAAAAAGACATTTCTGCATCTGAAGTCTGTAGTTTGGTGGAGTAGATGTCATCATCTCCTCTAGTCTGAACCCTTTTCTTTGCTCTGAGGAGATAAAGAAATCTGCCACTGAGCCCAACATGTGTAAACATGTTTAATCACGTAAAATGTGGGGGTAAAAATGACAAATTAGCTGACATAGTGAATCAACAGATGAGACAGGTTACTGCCCTCACTGTGAACAGAGTAACACCATAAAGTGTGACTGAAAAGTTTATTTCATGTTATTGAAGTGTTTAAATTTACCAAATAGTGCTTTGACAAAACACTGCACATTTACACTGTGCTGCATTTTGAGAAACAGACCTTTCACACAAATCATCTGGTGAAGAAGTTCAGCCACCTGTCGAGCAGACTGCAACTCTAATCTAAATTAATCTATTGATTATCGTTTTCTTACTTGTTTAGTCTAGAAGATGTAAAACACAAAGTCAAATGCTTATCACAACTTGTCACAATCAAAGTCATGTCCTCATAGTATTGCTTAGTAGGACAACAGTTAAAAAAACATGTTTAATAGGGATAATTCAACCTTGGCTCCACAAAAGCAAATTAAACATTGACTGTCTTTACAGATCTTATCTCATCCTCACCTTGTGATGATGGAGGCCATAAGCCATGACGGCCCCAGTACCAGCCAGCAGTCCTGCCAGGGCATGTCTCCAGCTGGGGCGGTGGACACGCTGGTACGATCTTTGGTCCTCACTGCTGCTGCTGCTCCAAAGACGAGCTACACACGGTGCCACAGCAGGTGCCACTTGATGCCTATGAAACGAAAAAAAAATGTATGCAGATCAAGCTGAGCTCATCAGGTCTTGAGTAAACTGTAAGTTCAAGAATAACTATACAACTCTGGTGTACTCACAAAATGTAAAAAAAAAGGCTAAAAAGGGAATGAAAACCACTTGTGATGTGCACGAAAAATGAAAAACAAAAATTTGGAAAATCAAACCAATTTGCTTTGAGTTGTGTGTTTTAGTATCCCTCATTAAACTGAGACCTTTGACTGGGCAGAGCTCAGATCAGACCAAACTGCTCCGTCAGTGCAGGCCAGGTAAATGCCCAGTATAACACCTTTTTGTTACAGTGCTGTACCTGTGAGTGTTGAGAGGGCAAAATCGAGTCAGGCTGTGGCAGCGTCTGAGAAGCAGCATTGCACTGATGTTCTGGGAAGAAATTGAGACGAGTAAAAAAGTTACTTCCACAGTCAATCAAACAGAGAGTATCATGCAAAGAATTTCGATGAACTAGTTACTCACAAAACAGTGAAATACAACAATGTGAGGTTCATTTTTTTTTCTTTTGCCAAGCAGACTGTGAATTTACATAATTCTTTGGAAAGTTAAAGGCAACACACACCAGCAGCACATAACACCCTTCAGAACACCACTGATGTCTATGTAAGCTCTCATACTGGCAGCTCCTTGGCTGCAGGATATATATTTCCCAGCACTGTCATTCATCAACTCTTTATTTCATAATCTCCACAGATTGGCACATGCCAGCTACCGCACCTTGAGTACTATATCTGTCTGTGACAGCTTCAGTGTGTACTATGGGCGTCAATTAACCCGTGTCAAAGATGTGACAATCCCAAGTGCGGCATATTTGTGTTGTGCTTTTATGAGGCCATTATTGTAGCACATCTATTTGCAACTTTGTGTGGAAAGTTGTGTAACTGTATCTCTGTAAACTGTAAACTCTGTGTGCCTAATCAGATTTATAGATGTGTAATAATCTCTAAATGCGTACCGAAATTTGTGAACTTGTACGGGAATCTGCAAATGTGCATTCAGAATTAGTGTGGGCATAATTGAATTTGTAAGTGTGACTTCATTCTGTGCTCAGAGTGCTTATTACTCTACTATATATTTACATAGCAAACTGGTTTGCTGCTTTACTAATGCTCTGAAAGCTGCATACAGAGCCTTTAAACTCAGGTTGGATCGCAGACTAATCATAGGGAGCTATTTAATCTTTTAGCTGCTGCAACCTGAGGATGGTCGGCCTTTTATCCCATATTAAAGGGGAAATACACCCATTTTCAAAATTCATACATGTTATTCCTCTGGTCTAAGACAGTCCAATAATATTACAAAACATGGATAACTCACTCCCAAATCCAAAAACTAGAGAGCTGAAACTCAAACTTGTGATGTCATAGGGTATAAAGTCTGGAGCTGCTTCACAGATAATGAATGGTAAAAGATGTTACAGATGACACTGAGAGCACCCAGGGGAATGTTCTGAGTATATGGGTTTGTTTTCTGTCTCACAACTGACCACTACAACAGAATAAAACTCATATAAAAAGAAAACAAACATTCTGTTGGTCCTCAAAATCAGACTCTGATCCATTGTCTATGGAGCAGCTCCAGACTTTATACCCTATGACTAAGGATAGACCGATACATTGGCCAGCCGATATATCGGGCCGATATTTGAGTTTTTTACTTGTATCGGCATTGGCCGATACGCGCGTGGGTTCGCGGATTTATTTTTCCCTGGCATGATTTACAGACAGGCATCCACGGGCAGCTCTGTGTTGCCGGAAGACCCTGCAGCGCACATGCAGCGAATCCTACTGTGTACAATAGTTGCTGTTTTATTTATGCTTCAGCTTAAATATTTGTTTATTTTATAAAGACATTACTGGAAGATTTAAGAGCACTGAACTCTTTTTTTTATTTGAGTGTATAATAATAATAATAATAATAATAATAATAATAATAATATTCTACCTGTTCTACCTCAACTTTCCATCTTGTTTTAGTATTTTTTACTGTTCAATAAATTTTTCTTATTTTAAACTTGAGACCTGTAATATTTGTTATCATTGTGTCATTTTTTTTATGTAAATTGAGAGAGCAAAAGCAGTATCGGCCCCAAATATCGGCTCAAGAAAATNTTTTCTTATTTTAAACTTGAGACCTGTAATATTTGTTATCATTGTGTCATTTTTTTTATGTAAATTGAGGGAGCAAAAGCAGTATCGGCCCCAAATATCGGCTCAAGAAAATTGGCAGTCCATAATCGGTCATCGGCTAAGGGTGATGGAAAAAAAATCGGTATCGGCATCGGCCCTAAAAAATCCATATCGGTCTATCCCTACCTATGACATCACAAGTTTAAGACTTACTTCCTTGGTTTCTGGCTTTGACAGAGAGTAAATGGTAAACTGCATATATAGCACTTTTCTAGTCTTTTGACAGCTCAAAGAACTTTTACACTACATGTCACATTCACCCATTCACACGCTGGTGGCCAAGGCTACCGTACATGGTGCCACCTGCTACTCAGAAACCATTCACACGCACTCACACACCGGTTGAACATTGGGAGCTATCTGAGGTTCAGTATCAGGGAAACTTCAACATACAGACTGAGGAGCCTTGAAGCGTCGATCTTCCGATTAGTGGACAACCTGCTCTATCTCTGAGTCACGGCTGTCCAAGAGTAACTCATGCTCACAAATATCGATTGAACTTGCCTTGTCCATGGAAATAACATTTTGGAATTCTTAAATTAGGGGGTATTCCCCTTTAAGTGACAGAGCAGATTTGTGGTACAAACAGCAATCGTTTTGTGCAGAGGATAGTCTGTTCCTGTTGCTGCCCCCCTGAAACTGTACAACCTCCAGATGATAGACATGCTCCGGGATCTTCCTCCATTTTATATTGACATCAACTCAGCTGGTAGCAATTTCACTTTCAGCCATGCTTGTTGAGCTGTGCATAACGGCATGATGTCATTATGTCATCAAGTTGGAATATTGGCGTTATCATGTTTTTTTTTCATTACATCACACTCCTACTTAAGTAAATATCACTTAGTGTAAATATCACTTAGTGTACCAGTCAAACATCTTGTGGCCCCTGAGATTTATCTTTAAACCCTTCGGGGGTACATACCCCTACTGTATGTTGGGAATGTGCTGGTGTAGAGCAGACAAACCCAACCTCCACAGCAAAAACATCTACTAGCATTTGATAGCAGCTAATGTTTGTTTTCGCACCCAGATTACTGCACATAACTGTTACAGCTTTCAGCAGCTTCATATGCTTATGACAGTGGGTCTTTCCAATGTGTTAAATGCATACAGTAAATCTGCTTGCAAAGACCTGAAACAGTCTACTGAACACAGGCTCTGTCACTTCAGTGTTAGGACACAGTGAGTGTAACATAGCTGGATAGCTGGTAAAAACAAACATGCTGTTGTATGTCGGATGATTTCCCTGAGGCTAAATACAGTCTGATAGGTTTTTTTTAGCATAGAACACCAAACCTGCTCACCAAACCTGCTCTTTCTTTACAGTCAACATGTGTTCCTATTAAAATGACCGGAGTCTGTAAACCCTTTACCTCCTACTGAACTGACCAACCAGCAGTTACTTCAACATACAAACGGAGCCAACCAGCTAAGGGGGAGTGAACAGAGTAGGAGAGGAGGGCTGAGCTTCAGTTCACCTTTTTTTCTAACCACAAAATGTTAGTAGATGTGTAACTCCACGTAGATGTGTAAACACAAACAGTTTATCCAGCAGGACCATGTCTTGACACTCTGACAATAAAGGAAGAAAGTAATGACTCCAGTCTGAATCATGGACTGTGACCAAATGCCTCTATACTTTGTAAAACATCATTGGGTTGGGCTGTTTGAAAGTAAAAGTGTATGACTGACTAACTGGAGCTATGATGGACAGATCACTGGAGCATCTGACCAAAAACAGAAGCACACACTTTCCTTGGAAAAGAAATTAGTGAATAATTTTAAAAAAATTAGGGTTGGAAATTCACTTTTTTGTCTACCTGCCACTGTGACCGCTGGATTCCAAAATCTACCAGCCACTCAGCAGATTACCATTGTTTTATGGCTGGTGAGTCAAGCAAATCTAGCAGCCACTATCATATATTACCAGCATTTGGCTGTTGGTTGGTGCTTATGCTCAACCCTTTTGGTGAAACACAAAAGCATTAGGTCACACAAGAAATGACAGATAGCATGTGGTGGAGCTCTGCTTTATCAATCAATTACACTTGTCTTATCACTGTCCATGGTGGTCATTAAGATTACAGGGGGTTATCTCTTCTTGGCTTTGCAAACTACTACTGAAGCTCCAAGAATTTAGAGCATGAAAGGGTTTTCCTAGTTTTCATAGGGTTTAACTACATTTTCAGTCAGAGAAACAGCTGATGCTGCTCGATGTGCCTTACAAAACAATGCAGCTATAACCGACATGTTACTAAAGAAGTCACAGTGAAATAAAGTTACATTTGAGGCTTTAAAATGTGTAAATACCAGATAGAGTGAATCATAACTGTAATCAATGTTACACGTGAACAGATTATTGACTGCGGAAAAAAATGCATTTTTTAATATACATTCATAGGCTACGACTAGTTTTAATTCTATAGATAACAGGTTTATTTCAAAATCTGTCCATGCACAACTAAATTCTCATTTTTATTCCACGACATTTACTTTTTTGATTTGGCAGCCATAGCTAACCAGCTAGGGAGACTGAAGACTAGCCACAGCTATTGAGATTCTGCACAATTTCAGGGAATAGGTGCCAAGCAGTAGATGCATTATGCACATTTTAGTTGTTGAATTGTTTAAACATTTTTTACTCTACATCATAGACATTTAATAGGGGGTGTATGGGCTTTACATTTTTATAATTGGAGAGTGTAAGAATTTCTTTAGGCCCACAACATTGACAAATGAAAATCAAAATGTTAAAAAAAAAAAAAAAAAAAAAAAAAGTTAGTCATTTCCACTTTTTTTTTTTTTTTTTTTTTTTGGTCAAAGCCACATGGAGCCACTGGATGGGGGCTAAAGGGCCACATCTGGTTCCAGAGCCACAGGTTGCCTACCCCTGCCCTTATCTGACTCATGCTGTAACATTTACCCTAATTTTGTTTAATTAATTCAATCAGGAATTTTATAAATATGCGATGTACAGTCTGTGGTTTCTGGTGCACATATAGTTACAACCATAAAAATGAAAACACAATTTCTATGGTTACAACACTCGTCTGTAATGTACTCAATGTGAAGTTAAAAACTTTTCTACACATTTCCAGGCACTGAAAATTTACAGACTCTCCCTAAACTGCAACTTCATTGCCACCTCATACTTTCCCTGACATGCATGTTGAATGTATTTGAGACAAATTAAGAGTCGAAAAGCAATTAACATCTTGCCTTTATCACAGCTTTAACGTCAGAAATATCGCCTTTAATATTATATTGTAATGTTTTGGGAAATACTATGGCAAAATCTGCCACATATATAATGTAACGTTACAGGATTTAAATTTTCTACTTAGCGCTGTGCTCTAAGGGTAGGAGCCCTGTAGGTTCATAATTAATTGTCACTGACACACTCCATGATAGCTAAGCTCACAGTGAGGGCAGCGCCGGGTAAACACATTCAAACTGACGACCTTACATAACGAATAACGAAAGTTAAAATGTAAAGTTAGCTAGCACCGTTTAAACCTGACACTGTATCATCCCCACCATCCTCATCATCCTCATGGCTAACTTAGCTAACAGTCAGCGAGCTCACCGCCGGTAGCCAGCGTGTCCGACTATGCCCACTCATTCAGGTACATTCATACACACATGAAAGCGTTAATGTTAGCGTCTTAATGTTCATGTTAACAAAACCAAACTACTCACTTCTGCTGTGTCAGTTAGCTGCCTGTCTTCAGATACTCCGCACCGGTAACTCTCTGCGTTGCACAGGCAGTCCCGAAACGTTACACAAACACCAACCGAGTGGCGTTCAAGGCCACTAGTCAATGTAGCGTTGTCTCTGTCAGCAGAACAGGAGAGGCAAGTTTATCACCCGCCCAAAAATAATTAGGTCAGACGAGTTTTACATTTTATAATGAGCTGTGCTTCAGTGTTGCCTTAGAGAAGAATCATCTATCGATCAACACTGGTTACTGGGATTATATCTAATTTCTAATATTACTATTTATGGCTGCATTACATTAAAAGACCCTGAGTGTCTTTACATGAGAATTAGAGCCAGCTGCAGCTAAAGCAAGGACAACAAAGCCAAGCAAGGTAAACATAAATATTTGACTGGTATATACACATACAAAAATGTAGAAAAAAAGTATAAACAGTATCTATATACATAAAAAACAACACAAAAGGCCACAATAGCCGCGAAGTTCACATGTGCCAATTGTCATGTGGTAATCTAATTTAATCCGTTTGGGAATTTTAACCGATCAATAAATGTAGCCTACTACAGTGGATTTTTGCCCCAGGATTGAGGATTAATACTAACACGCTCCAACTCTGATTTTTCTAACCTCTCTGAGGGGACCCTGAATGCGCCTGAGTTTACATGGTAAACATGCAGAGGACGGTGCACTGGAGGTTTGAAGACAGCACAACATGGTCAACACATGATGAAGAAATATTGGCAGAGGGCAGAATGAATCAGAAGATGTTTATGTGGAGTTAATCACAGCGGGCAAAACAGCTTTATCAGTTTTAAAGCGGGCGGACATGCTTTATATATATACAGGAATAAGTCATGTTGTAATGTTAACTCTATTAGAATTAGCTATTATTAAAATTGAACCATAAGTGATATCTCATTTATCTAGAAACCAAAGATATTTATTTGCTCAGATGAGAGCTGGTATTCTTCCTCTGGCCCCAGCAGTATTTGGAAATAATGTGTGACTTGTGTGATTTGCTTGTGGGGGAAAGTTAGTCCGATTTTCTTTCACACTATACAAACTATGATTGCTTAAGAGAGTTAATGTCCCATGAAATAGCTCAACTAAACCGTGACATATCCTGGTGCTCAGATGACCAAAAGCTAATGGTGTTGCAAAACCCTGGAAAAGAAGGCTTCATAGATTATTTAATTAGATCTCATTCTGATTTTTCAGTGCAAGACATTAAATGTCTCTGTAAGTGATCGATGCACACTGTTTTACTCAGTGATGCTCTGATTATGTGGGATGCTTGTTACTTTGCTCTATTTTTCTTTTTGGTTTTAATGTTGTCTGCTAGACTCTGGTCTTGGTTTGTTTGATTTTATGGTGTCTTGTAAGCCCGTGTGGGCTGGGCATACGTGTTTGGATGACACAATGATAAAAAGATTCATTCATCCATTCATTGTGTGTATAACATACAGGGGCTCAGGAGCAACATCTGAACTGGGGAGAGTAGTGTAGAGAGCATACACCTGAGGGCCTGTATGACTAATCAGATAACAACCTGATGGCATCAGACAGACCATCAAATTACTAAATACACAAATGCAAGAACAGCAGCCATGATCTGTCTGTTTGCAGGGGGTATGTAGATGTTTTCCACCGGTATGCCCTCAGAAAGACAAGAAAATTAAGAATTGAAAAAATAATAATAATAATTTTGGAATGTTTCTTCCCATCTGAACAGACATACGCTTTTATTTCCTGCTCTGTTTATTTTATTTTTTACAGTCAAAGTGGAATCTTGATGCTGTTGCTGACTGTCATTCCTTATCAGGTGGCGTCAATGAGGAAGTCTTTATCAGTACTTTTTATTGTTCCGGTTAACTGCAGACACTTACAGAAGATAGGTGTGTGGAAAGACTGCAGTTTCACCAGAGATGTGTCCCGCTGCTGTGACAATGCAAAAGTAGACAAAGTGTCTGACATGAACACAGTTTGCAGTGACAAAAATTAAACTAGTGTTTCTCATGGGACATTAGGGCATGCATCAAGAATAATAGATAACTTTAACTCTTGATACATAACCATAAACTGTAAGTTATCAATACAGGTTTTGAATTGTGGTGTTTTGGGGAAGATGATTGATAAACTATATCTTGCACTGTATCTAAATATTAAATCCCAATTACTTGTTGTCCCCTTCTGTTTCACAGGCATCACCACATGTGCATTTCTTGTCTCTCTTGTATTTCTTAAGATAAAAGGTGTTCAAAAATTTTTTTGCTGTATTTTCTGTGAGCTACTTACCAACCATTTGCCCTTTATCCGCCAGTAAACATTGTTCTCTTATTGGTTTGTGTCTGGAAGCAATTCACCTGTCATTCCACCTGTATAATGCAGGTTTGCCACTCCTCTTGGCAATAGTATTTTTTGTTTGTTCATTTGTTTTACAGTAAATATATTTTCTTGTTATTTTAAATAAGGACTGCAGTAATTATTTATTGATTCAATTGAAAGTTAAAGCTAAACCACACTTCTTTACTTCAGTTTCTTTAAGCATTCACAGCTGCTAACCTGAAGTGGCATATTTGAGGAGCAGAATGTAACAAAAGAAGTAATGTTTGGATTTGACCACTGTTGTGTGAAATGTGGCTGCGGGTCGTCTCTTTCTCTTGTTTAAACTTTGCTTGTGTGAGCCCTGCCATGTTTGAGGAATCCAGTCAAAACACAACCTGTGGCACATACCGAGATGGGGTCGTTTCTATGGCAACAACACATTTACTGGATTTGCACTGTCTGTGTTTTGATGACAATATTTCCGACATCCCCAGTAGATTCTTACACATGCTGTAAGTTTTCCAGGTCATTGCTGGAGGTGTTTAGATTGTCCGATGTTCTCTTTGCCCTCTGACACCTTCATGTCAGTGAAGTACACTTTGTGAAATGGTCCAGAACATCCTGTTGCTTACTGAAACATTTTGCAGATAAAACACAGATCTGTCTGACATTTCCACATTTAAAGATAAAGCTACTGTCAAACATTACACATACCGTAATCAATATTTGTTTAAAACAAATGGTATGCAGTCGGATGCAGCCTAACCTGTAAATGTCAGCAAGGTCTTTATGCTGTTGTGATGGAGTTTCTTTAAAGTGTAAATGTCAGTTTAACGCCATTTCTTTTTGCTTTGCTTTTCTGGATTTTTGTGTTTTCTTGTAGTTTAAATCTGTGCAACCAATTGCCCTGAGATATGTGATCAATATTTCAGCCTGACCAGAAGAATTACAAAAATATTTCCATTTAACCAAGAGAAACAGGAGACAGTCTTACTGAAAAGATTTCCTTCTATTATACTGTAGACAAACTTCATCACTTACACTGTGTGTGCATTCTGGGCCCTTTAGCACTACCTGTTGGCAAAGTGAACATAATCAACACTGCAGCAACAAACACTCAAGATGAAAACAGTCACTCCTCCAACAATTCTTGCTTATCTTTGATTTCAATATTAGATGTTCGTATTATTTTATAATCTTTCTTTTGTTTGAGAGTTTTTGGTCACTCTTTGGTACTTTGTAAACCTGTTTTTTTTTTTTTTTTTTAAATAGCATCAAAAAGTGTTACTTGTGTACCATTAACATTTTCCCTCATTAAGGTGCAGAGAGCTCTGAACATGTAAGTGTGATTTTGCTTCAGTGTTTGACGCTCAAAAGCAACCCCCATTATCTACCCATGGAGTTAGCAAAGTAATTTCAGGGTTAACTCTGGGTTTTCAGTTCTACAAAGCAGGTTCTCTTTTTACTGGGATAAATCATCATGGCAACTTATGCTGAACATCTAACCTGCCCTAGAACAGATTAACTTCAGGGTATCAGATCACAGCCTGTCAACACCCCAACCTCTGACCAATCACATCACTGAAGAAAAAAGTGTCCATGAACATTAGTCTGGAGTTTCAGGTAAAAAAAAAACAGAGCAGCTTATACTGTTATAGGTCAGTAGAATCAAGGCTCTATTTCCACTGGTTTTAAAACAGCTTCTTACAAACACAGAGATCGTTTACACACTAAACGTGATTTTAGCAGGAGGTTTATTTTAGTCTGCAGTGCTAGTGTTGCTAATTTTACACTCTGATTTAATCACTGCAGCTCAGAATAACATGAGACACGTGTGTGATGAGAACTAGGAAAAAAGATAATTCATCAAAAAAATAATCCACACACTGTTAACTGGCTCCAGTTATTATAAATGCAACATTTTGGTCAGATAGACCTCATCAGTCATTAACTACAGTATAGGCTACTTTTCCACCCTTTACTTCGGGAGTAGACAGAGACTGGTGTCCCTTCAAAGTGTTTTATGTGACATATTCAGCCTAGTTTCGTCATCATCCAACTAAATAGCAAAAATTACTCTACTGATGCAACATACAGCCTAGTGATACTTATACGTAATGTAAGTCTCAGCCAATGGTGAGTTTTTAGATAATATTTTCAATATCTCTGCATTTTCTGTTATAAGATTACAGAGTATCGTTTACATCCTACGCCACTGACATGACATTGCCAGACACTTTGGTACCGTTTCATATCATATGATAAGAAGCAGCCTACTTAATTCATGGTTCTGATGATGTCGCTCATAATTAACACCCGCGCCTCTTTCACACTTGTGGCTGGATACCCAACTTGTTGATAACCAGCATTGTAATACTGGTTGTACAGCCAGCCAATGTTTGGGTTAGTCAAGCCAGATAATGAAAAGATATCCTGGGTATGTTTAACTGGCTTTGCAGTACAGGCCTCTGGTGTATCAATATTGACTGAAGCACTAACCACATTCACTTTCATCATTAGTAGTAGTAGTATTTCATTCCGCTACTGATTCATGAATGTGTGAGTCATCCAAGGGGTGAATTATGTCCTTATTAAGTGTAGGAAGTCGCTCTCACTGGTGCTTTGAGGCACACTGTTCCTTTTTGCTTTTCTGTTAGTATTTTCTGATTTTCACTTATCAACATTCTGGTAAAATAAAACCCTTCCCAGCATGTAAAAATTCTTCTCTTAAAGATATACTATGAAAGACTGGGGCCACAGATGACAGGGCC